TGTTACTGTTTTTGTTGCTTTGGTGAAAATGATTGTCAAAATGCTCATTTAAAACCGCGCTATCCTCCCCCTTTTTTTGGTGTTTTGTTTATTATTGTTGATGTTTTCTTTTTTGTTACGGATGCTTAATTTTGAACTCTGTCACTGCAGAATGACGCTGATTTTTGCAATTATCTGTTCTATTTATATATATATCGCTCGTTAGCTCCGAAATAAAAATTTCTTAAGTACTGGAAACCTTTTACAATTAATTCTAAACAAAACAAATAATTCATTCCTGATCTGTTTTGTAATCTCTTTTTATCTGAAAATAAAAATAAGACATGCAAAAATGATGTATTTCTCTAATTATAAAAACTTATTTTGCATTTGTCCATCTCTTTTCGAAACCTATCTTAACAAGGCAAAATATAGCATCTAAGAAAAACTCTCAAGAGTTTTTAGCGTCGCAGTTTTCCGTCTTTAGGAGAAATAAAGCCACCAACTCCAGCACTTCTAGCCGTCCATTTTTCAGCTGCACTGAACGCCCCTGTAATTGGTAATTTATTCAAGCTTTTTAGACTTGACATCACATTCGCACGGAAGTTTGCCACCTGGGGATAAAGATGAAGAAAATATGACAATCATCTTATTCTTTTCATTACCCCAATGCCGGGGGAAGGGGGGGAACTCGGCATGTGAAAGGGGTGGGGATGCTCGTCGTCTCACTAAGGGGTGTAAATTTCGGATTTTGGTCTCATTTAGGGTGTTCTGGGCAAAACGCCATCATATTTCGCCGTGAAGGTCTCGTTTAGGGTTGCACGCGAAAAAATATTAAAATATATATTTGATATGTATATTTTTAATTCGTTTTATTTACTCCATTCATATAATCCAAGTTTTCTCATTTTTCTCGTTTTAACATGTCTCTTTGAAGGGTCCAAAAAAGCTTGGGCCACGCCCAGATCGGTCTCCTTTAGGGGTTTAATTCAAAATTTCCGACGAGCATCCCCATCCCTTTCATGTGCGGAGACCCCCCCCGGGCCCCAATGGCAAAGTGCCCGTGCGAATGTGATGGCAAATCTTTCAAGCTTGAATAAATTACCTGATACAAGGGTTTCCGTTGCAGCTGAAAATGGATCGATTAAAGTACTTAATGGAGTCGGTAGCTTTATTTTTTCTCAAGACAGGAACCTTCGAAACGCGATTCAAACACATAACCAGCACGCATATAGGTAGGTTCAAGTCACCTTAAACACCCAAATTTTACGTCAAACTTCTTTCATCTATATTTTCTCGGTTATTCTCAAACTCATTAATAATTCATAAAGAAAATACAAAGAAAATTAATGTTTAATGAGTGTTTGGAAATCGGATGAAAAACTGCTCAGTATTTGCATCCTTAATTTCTCCTTCAAAAATGATTTTGTTTGAGAAGAAATATCAAACATTCGACACAGTGTTTCATCACCAGATGAAACACCTCGAAGTTCGTCAAAAATACTCCGCTGCGCGTCGTATTTTCAACTCTCTTCTCGGTGTTTCATCTGGTGATGAAACACTGCGTCTCATGTTTGATACATTACTTGAAAAATGATGCCAACCTTTCTTCATATAACCCCGATCATTCGGGCTCATTCCATTGCCTTGCTTTCTTTCGTCGAGTTTTTCGTTCAGGTTTCCACTAGCCTGAGTATCAGGCGTTTCTGGGGAAAAGGGGAAAGATGGAAGCGAAAAAGGGAGAGAGGCGAAGGAGAGAAACGCCTGACACAGATGCTTTTACTGGAGCCTTCCACCCCCACACAGCATGATTCGATACCATCCAATCAAAATCACTTCCGGTCATTGGGTTGTCAGCTTCACGTGTCAAAAAGCTCGCCTAAAATAAATCTCACTTTACGGTCTGGCCTTTGGTCTGGCCGAGCTCCGGTGCTTGTGTTGCTACGATTTCGCTTTTTTCTGAAACCTCCAATGAGGAGTTTTCGAATACTTGTACTGTAAAACCTGCCATTTATGAGGAACTATAACATGTTTTAGGAATTGTGCTAGTGTAAGATCGCCAACGCTCTGTTTGTAAATAAACGTGTGCCCGGAAAATAGTAAATTGCTTTTGTTTACAGAGTTAAATCAGACGCTTGTCTGGCAGCTAAAAAGCTGATGTTATCCCTCGTATTCTCGGGTGGTTGAAAGGAGCTGCAAGAATAAATAGGAAGGTGCAATGATGAAACACCTATGCTTAGAAATTATTAAGCAGCAGAAAATTCCACCACTTCACAGAGAGCTCGTGAAAGCTGTTACAAGTTCAAAAAGAAGTGAGATCCTATAGCAAAGGTTAATCTCGTTGGCGAAGTATGATGGCGCCCGCTTGAGCTTAAGACATTTAAAAAGCGAGAAAATTTTGGAAGAGGAAGCGAACGAATTCCAATCACGTACGCTATCGTAACCGCAACGAGCAAAGTCAAGCTTTTTAAAAGCATTTGTGCTGTCGGTTATCTCAATACACGGCTAGACCTCGCTCTATTTTCATTTACAGTAACAATACCCTTTTAACGGCAGGATGTTGTAAATCTGAACTTAAATATCTGAAACACTGATATCGTCTTCTTTGCCCCGGTCTTGTGAAACCACATGAGGCTTTTCCATACTCCGAGTACATCTTTCCTTTAAACTACGAGGCTTTGAAAACACAATTCTTGCTCGGTTTTATTTTTATTCCAGAAAAGAACTTGAGAGCGCCCTCTAGAGCCTTTTTGAATTCCTCTCTGCGTCTCTGTCTGTGAAAGTAGGGACTTTAAGATCCAGGACGCGACGGCTTTTAGGACGCGGTGACCGGGCAAAAGCCTGGAACGAGGACGGCGTTGTAAGCGCGGGAAAATTTAAGTTAAGATTTGCGACGCGATGGGGTCATTAATGTAAATCCGTACGAAGGTTTTAGCGAAGAAACAAGAAATGGCTTCCTTCCAAAAACTTCGAGAATTACTGCTACCTTGCTTGGAGGAAGAAATTATAGACGACGAAGAATTTTCAGTGCTTTACGAGGCGTATGCTCCACAAAATCTTCCATTTCAGCACTCGGCATACGAGAAATTTTCTCTCGAAAACAAAAATTCTGCCGAATGCAAGGCTGATTTTCGCGTCGATAAAAGGGATATCGCATTACTTGTTGAAGCCTTAAGAGTTCCGCCCATCTTCAAGTGCTCTAACGGAACTATCTGCGATGGAACCGAAGGCCTCTGTATTGTCCTAAAGCGGTTCGCATATCCATGCCGCTATTCCGACATGATGCCAATCTTTGGGCGATCGGTGCCAGAAATGAGTATGATCTGCAACCAGGTGACAGACTGGATATATAATACTCACGGGCACAAGGTTACACGGTGGAACCATGGTATTTTAAACCCACCGTTAATGGCTACGTATGCAGATGGGGTCCACTCTAAAGGAGCAGCCCTTGATAACTGTTTCGGCTTTATAGACGGAACTGTGCGGCCCATTAGTCGGCCGATGTCAAACCAGCGAGTTGTTTATAATGGCCACAAGCGCGTACATGCGCTCAAGTTCCAGGCCGTCACGCTTCCCAATGGACTGATTGCTAATATCTATGGTCCTGTAGGTAAGCCCCAGATTTTTTTTCTATTCACAAAGCAACCTTTTTTCCCTTCATTGCCATGTTTATGGAATTTTTGTTTCATTGTACTTGCCTCTTAATTTTGCCGTATTTTTTGTTGAAATTCTTTTAGTAATTGATAATAGCCTATTCAATTTCTTGTTTCCACGCCATATACCCTACGTGCTAGTTAAATGTAAAGCCTGCATGACTTGATTTTAGCGAACATTAATGATGACATATACATCCTTAATTTGTTTTAAGAGTGGAACCTTTGTTTTCTTTCCTTCTTGTAGAAGGCAGAATGCACGATGCAAGAATGCTGGCAGTCTCCCAACTGTATGATGATTTACAAAACTTTGCATTTGACCCTGTAGGTAGAGCAATGTGTTTATATGGGGATCCAGCATACCCACTCAGGGTTCACTTGCAGGCACCTTTCAGAGTTGGCATTCTAACAAGAGATATGGAGATGTTTAATGAGTCCATGAGTGCTGTTCGCTCATCAGTTGAATGGTTATTCGGAGATATTGTAAACTACTTCAAATTTTTAGACTTTAAAAAAAATTTGAAGATTGGACTCAGTCAAGTAGGAAAAATGTACATAGTATGTTCTATTTTAAGGAATGCTTTAACTTGTCTCTATTCAAACACAACTGCTGATTTTTTTGGACTAGATCCACCTTCATTAAATGACTATTTTAATTAACACGACTTTGTCACAGTGGACTTTTCATGAGAATAAGTTTTTTATAGATAATTCCTGTGACAGAAATGCCTCTTTAAAAGAGTTGTTTGTAAAAATTTCCTTATCTGATTAACCTTCCTCCCAGTGAGTTCCAGACTCTTGGACTGGAACATGTTGTTTTCTACTTAGCTAGCGTTAGTAAAGTTTCCTGTAAGTTTTCTTCACCAAGAATAATCAGTGATAGGGATAGATATACTTTAACTAAGATATCCAAGCAACAAATATAGTTTTTGTTCATATAATTTTGTGCACACAAATCAGTACCTTTAAATTAATATTTAATTAACTTTTGTGGATTGGTTTGACATGTAAAAACACAACTGACGGCCTGAAACGAGGGCCTCTTATTTGAACAGAGAACAGAGGTAGAAGGAAAATCCCTCAAGTAATAAAACAAAACATTCTTTGTCACTTAAAAAACTGGCAACAATTGTGTACATACACAACATCAATAAACTTTCCTTGCTGCTGGTGACAACAGAGTTTCAACTTTTCCAGCAAAAAAAAAAACAAACAATACAAATGCAACAGGTGGTTTGATGTCATCTGTATCTTGTGGGCCTACAAATCAAGCAGTGTATTTTTTAAAATATTTTCATCCACAAGCCACTCCAAAATGTGCAGCAAAATATGCTGCAAAACCTGACTGTGACACAAATCCATAGATCACTTATTGGCTAATTTCTCTAATAGAGCCATCATTGCCCTTGACTGTTCTTGTTGTTGTTGTATCATCATCATTTGACTGTTAATCAGCTGTTGTTGGTTTTGTTGTTGTTGCTGTTGCATTACTTTAAACATTTCTGTTTGTTGCTGTTGTGTTTGTAGCTGCTGTTTGGCCATTGCTTCCATTTTTTCTCTTTCCAACGCTTGCTGTTCTTGCAACATTTTAAACTCTTGTTGTTTCAGTTCATAATTCATCTTAGCCCTATCTGCTAAAAATTCCATAGCTTCACTTCCACTTCTACGCTGTCGTTTGGGTTTTTCCTCTTCGCTCTCACTTGATCTTTTCCTAGTCTCCGAAAGCTTTTCCATGGCCTTTAATCTCGCATCTTCTGCCTTTGCTCGGTCGTTTTCACATTTTTCATTTCTCTCTGCTCTTAATTCCTGTGATTCTGCCTCTGAACTTTCTTCTAAAGCGATGATAGTGTCCAAAAGATTTTCCATTTCGCTTGGCTCGTCGGGCGCTATACCGGATGCCTTCTCCTCGGCTCTGACTTTTCTTTTATGCTTGTTGACGAGAATCCCCATGTGGTCGCGAACCGATCTCTTATCAACGCTGAATCTCAGTACGGTACATTCGTTTAAAATTTGAGCTATTTTCTCCCACATCCCGCTTCTTTGAGTGGATCCTTTTTTGAACGTAAAAGGGTTTAAATTTACCACTTCTCGGCACAAGAACACGTCATGCTCGTTTGACCAAAACATCACCGAGCTAAAAATAAAATAACAGGAGTATAAGCTTAAGCTTACATTTAATGCTTCGACTGAACAACCAACACATGTTGAAAATACGAGGATTTGTTCAACCGACTCAAATAGCCATGATTAAAGCTCACATTTACCTGGGAGGTTTAGGCTTGGATGCCATGCTTCGATTCAGGACTTCAAGTCTTCAACTAGCTGTTTACCTGTGAATATACGATGAAAAATGCCTTATCTGTCGCATCTTTGCATTCCAAATTGACTGCAATCTAGGACCAAGATTTTAAGTAACTCTACTGAGGGCCTGAGAGGTTTAAGGGAGACAAAGTATTACTTTCATGGACAAAAAAAGGTCTTTATACTCACGTTCTGTACAAAACGCCAAAGTTTCCCAAATGACGTTCTCGACGCGACTTGGCGCCACTGATAGGACGCCTTGGGCATGCGTACTATGTACCCCGCCTGGATATTTTACTTCCGGTGGCGTCTTATAGCCGTCGCGTCCTGGATCTTAAAGTCCCTAGTATCACATACCGGTAACATGAAATCAAAACATCTACGAAAAATTTCAATGACCGTCTCCTTGCCGATCGCTCTTGCGGTCGGTGACGTCAAGGGGGTATTGTGTGTTATCCAATCACTGCCACATCCAGATTTTGGATGTGTCACACGATTTGCTGAATGGTTTTGTGTCAGGCCTTCCTTTCTCTTCTCCCCCTCCCCCCTCCCCCATAGGAAGGCCTGATACTCAGGCTAGGTTTCCACAATATTCCTGCGGCTGGTCACACCAAACTTAGGCAGGCCGAGAGAACGACGGTGTGACGATAGGTTTAGTCCTTCCAAGCACAAATCGGGGAAATAAGCGTTAAGAGAACTCGAGCGACTTCGGCGTAAGAACAACAAGGGGAAAACTAACTCTGCAACTCGCTTGGCTAGCGGGAAAGGAACTCGTCACTATTCCAAGGTACTAGGATCTGCTACAACTGGAAACAGGACAGGACTCAAACTTGGACTTCAACAGTTTAATCTTCAGCTCGTGAACGTAAATCATACAGTCAAATAAATCCGCAATGTAAAATCGAAAAACAGGAATAACAGTGCTCTATTTATACAAACCGATCAACTTATTACTACATCACAAAACAAATGGAAAGAAGGCTGAATAAAATCAGCTCAACAGCGAAAACAACTCTGGATAAATCCAGTTTTAAAGTTCATATGTTAAACTAAATAACCCAAAATTAAATGTCAGACAAGCAAGTGAATTTTAGGAAACCTACAAAGAAAGCTGTGTAAAAGAATTCGAGTTTCCTTTGCTAAGGATCCCTCAAAATGTCCAAACTGAAATCTACGAACGGTTGGTATTTGAACAGGCGAAAGATCCAGTTATTCAGTCAACTAAGCTGTATAATTATCCAGAAACAAATTATCCTTTTAAAAGTAAATACTGAAGTAAAATGTGTATAATTTAAGGGAACCAAAACAACTCAATGCAAATTCAATGTAAATTATGGCTAACACAACTTCAAATGGAATATTTAAAAGCTAGATATGAAATTCGAATCAAATAAGGAATACATAGGAAATCTCTCCTTACAACGGAAAAACTAATTACTTTTTTTCAATTTTAATCTCTGTTGATCTTGGTACCCTTAGACGAACTTTAACATTCCATCCTTTATTGATTTAACGTTCTTTCAAGGTGAATTACGGGATAGCGCAGCTGTTTTATTTTCCACTTGGTTTAAAGTCTCTTACTTGTCTTCCTTTATTCAGCTATTAAAAATAAAACTTTCTTTAAATCATACTCCAAAAGAAAATAAAAAGAAACATGGTTAGGATTTTAGGATTTGCAAAGAAAAATCTTAGAGAATGCCTTAGCATAAAAGCTGTTCATTGTTCCGTAACACACAGGATGCAAAGCACTTGGCAAACAAATTAATACAAAACTATACCTTCGCATTAGGCTATGATACCGAAATTTCCACTCGTTTACATTAGCTAATCTTTCCCACAAAAACACGGCTTGATATGGGAAATAACAAATCACAAATATTAGAGTTATCGCAAATATCATCTTCAGTAAATCTTGCTCGGCGTCACTGGTGTTTTCTGGCTTGGTGCATCTACGGTTATTCACATCTATTAAGACTAGGCCTGATCGGTGTTCTTCTGGCGTCGTAGTTTCTCTCCTCCGATAGTTCGTGTGGAGTTCTACGAGTGCAACTGAGGAAGGGATGATCGAGTTACTGCGACAATAGGAGGTGTTTTGGCCGATTCGCTGTCTTAGGTTCCACACTACCGCTCCGTAAGATGCTAGCATGACCAAGTAGGGTAGGACATAATTCAGGGTGAATAACACGAGAGAATAGGCATAGACATTCCCAACAGGATGCAATTCACAATGGCCACCTACGAACCTGTTTCGAATGAATATGGGCACACAGACAGCAGTAGGAACAAGCCACAAACAGGAAAAGATCACAGTCTTCAATTTCCCAGATACATGTCTTTCGATGGGGTTAATGAGTACTCGGTAGCGGTAGAACGCGAGCGCTGCCAGCGAAAAAGTTACTACCATCAATGAAATAACTTGGATGGGATTGTCAACGCACCAGATATCGTGGATGACAACATTCTTGTGTCCTTTTTCATACTGCCAGACGTACATGATCGGTAAGCAGAGAGAGTTGACGATTTCCGCAAAGGCCATGTTGGCAACGAGATGGTATGAAAACGGCTTGCGGTGAGGCGCTCTCCATATTGCTTTACAAACGACCGAGTTACCGATCAAGCTGGCCAAGATGATCAGTGTAAACAAGGTATGACGAAAAATACGCAGGGGTAGAGTTTCCTGGTATTGGATCACTCCGTAGTCTTCAGAAGTTCCACTGACAACAGACGTGTTGTTAAGCGATGTCATCGTGTTCTTCCAGTTCAACTAAGTTTTCTAATAAGAGAGTGTTCCAAGGCGACTTGCAACCTTCTTACTTCTTTCACAACAATGCAGCTGTCTTATAATGTTTGATCTGCATTTTAAATGGCAATTTAGAACTTTACTGACGGTTTTAATGAACACTCCTGAGCGGACACCAAAACATTTGTCAAGATACAACTTGGTATGCACTTTAAAAAAAATTATTGAAAATATGCAAAATAAGCATGACTTTTCACTTAACAGGGATATCAAAAGAACGCATGAATCGGAAACTACACGGGGATGTTCTCAGTTTTTATATTTCGAGCTTTTTTGTCTTTCCTTTTTTTCCAATATCATTGTATTTGGTACTTTCTTTAAAAATTGTGAAATTTCCCTCTTTGAAGAAGCCTTAAACCAGGTGCTGTTCAATATTCCTTGCTGCCAGAAGAACGTTTGTGTGCCAATTTTGGGACAAAGCATAATCGACTTAATTGTCACATTGCCAACGCACTGAACCACTCAGTTTCATGGTAACACACGCAAAATATTTTGTTTGTTTTCAAAAAAAGCGTTTCTCCTGAAGTTTTGCGTTACATGAACATTCTAACCGGTGTAAACTGACAAAATAAAAATAAGGTATTTCAGTAAATTCTTATCACTGGAAGGAAAGGGATTTGGACTGTTACTAAAGCCAACCACTCAAAACCCACTCCTTTTGACATTTTTTTTTTCAGCAACATGAAAGTAAAGTAAACGTTTTATTTTCCAGAGAAACTGATATGAAAAATATTTGGACGTTTGAGCACGTCTCCTGAATCCACAAGCACATCTGCGTTTTTCTTAAAGTTCTTTACACTAACAGATCTTAGAACTTCAGACGCAGAGTTCAGATCAGTCTGCACAAACAAGCATTGCGATCCTTTCTAAGCAAGTTGTTATGGTGGCACCCAACATTCTTCACAAAGCAGACTATTTGCTTTTTCAGTCGTTGCTGATGGTATACCGCCTGAATTTAAAATGACGTTATCAAATTTGTACGTTTTTTCTTTCAGCGCTACTAACTCATACTAAGGGCTGTGATCTCTGACGTTCATCGTCAATTGTGATCAAAACATTTCTTTTCCCTTTTTGTCTTTTTAACAAAAAACGCGAAAGAAGTCATGCAAACATGAGGTTGAACCTGAAGAACCAACATAACAGGCCAGAGGCCCGATTTTAGTGCGCGCAGGAGGAGGCCTAATCTCCACAGCAACCACCGCAAATCGGTTTCCAATAACAGACAAGGTAATTAGTTTTAAGTATTCCTCCAGACACCTTTGGAGAGCGCCGGACACATTGCCTGTCAAGGAACTTTGTACTTCTGATTAAACGAACCAGACATCTCAAGGAAACGCGAAATTTGATCAGACAATTTGGGTATTATAAATTCATTACACGGTCGATTGAAAATTTGGAAGTCGATCTTCGCGCCTCTGGCTTCGCAATTGATAACTACAGTTTTCTCGCCGCATTTGGATTCAAATAGGCTTGATACGCTTTCAATGGTTTTTCAAGTGCTTTCTTTTACGAAAATAGTGCTGCGATGGCTTATTTAACTTCTGCCAAGAGTGGTATGCCGTGTCAACATTGGTGACCTTCGAAGCGAAAACAGCGAGTCGGCGTATCAAGTTTTTACTGTGGAGCCGCAAGTAGGAATACACTATCTGCTGGCACATCTTTCTCCGGTTTGGAAGGAACTCGGCTTGGAAAAGACCCTGACCAAAGAAATTTTTAAATCTGCTCTATTTCAACGTTTGAGAAAAGCCGTCAACAATGCACATTTTATAGTCGCCGGAGAAAACGAAGGCGAGAGCTCGAGTTCTACTTCACATCCCCTTGAGGAACAGCAACACCGATTATCTGATTCAATGGACTACCTTTTTGATCAAACGGCGAAGGATTCAAGTCTTTTTTCTCTGCCTTAAGACGATGTAAGCGTCGATGTGCCTCCAGTGACAAATCACTCTCCAAAAAGCCCGCCAAGCACTGTCGAAATCCCGCCAAAATCTTATTCGCTGGAAGGAGCCCAAGACGCTGGACTACT